AATTACAAAAAAAAAAAAAAGGAAAAAGAAAAAAAAAAAGAAAGTGTAGAATTACAGAATGACATTGAGGAGATCTGAAGTAAGTACAGTAACAAAAGTATGGTTGTCATGGATGGCACAGGTGTAATAGGAAATGTCAAGAGGAATTTGCTTACCAAGGCACTGCTCTAACCACTTGAATACTGTTTGCACAAGTATTGCATATCCTTTCAACGGAAAATGCTCCTTAAGATCACTTGAGATTTTTAAGTGTTTGTTTGCCAAATGTCATTTCAGGTATCTTTGCATTTTATTTCTACAGATATAGTAGCAACACATTATTTCACATAAATATTTTCTTACAGTATTTTTTTTCTTTCTTGAGTCAGTTTGTATAGCTGCTTTTGGCTCCGCACACAGAGACTCTGCATGTAAGATACAAAGAACTTTATAAAGTAAATAAATTCCATAATGATTCAACAAACACAAAAGACAGCTAAAATTTAACGGGCTTATAGTGTCCATTTTTTCACCAGCCTCAGAAGACCCCTAAAGGCTCTTTGGTGGGCTAGGCAGGCATCAGTCAGAGGAAAGAGGTCGAACCACTAACATCTCTAACAGCAGCATCAAAAAAAAAAAGGAAGTGAAATAATCTGTGCAACCATGCAACACATTTCAGACTAATGGAAAGAGATATGCATTTCGTTAGTGCACAATTAACTTATGAATCTCATGGCCAAGAAACCTTAGAGAGGTCAGAAGCCCTGTAGCACTCAAAGGTATACATCTCTTAGTGCTGTAAGCACACTCATGGTCATTCTGAACATGACAAAGGGAGTAAACTGTCATCCTTTTGCCCATAATCAAATCAGGTTTGATCAAAATGAACAATTTTTAAGGAGTCTCACATTTGTCCAGTGATGTGGGTTTTTACACTCTTCTGGTGTAGCTGATAGTGCCCAACATTAAGGAAACTTCCCTGTCCAACCATCCAGGAGCCACTCAGGTAGTCACACTTGCACCACCTGAGCTGGGACCGAGGCCCCCAAAAGTACACACCCCACACTCACAGAGTCAGACCAGGTTTTCCTCAACAGTTTGGCCCCGAGTTTCCCATAGAAGAGTCTCAGACATCTGGATCCTTAAAATAATCTAACCTTGGTGCAATAACTAAATAACACCTTGAACTGGAGCCTTTCAGGAGGGACCCCGAACAAAGGAAACTCTGGGCTTTCATACCTTCACAGTCGAAGGGTGGGGAAGTCCAGGCTTGTTGGTCCCTGCTGTGTCTCAGTGTCTGGTACCCTGGCTGGGTCACAGGTCCCTGGGCCCTTTGTTGTGCAAAGGGTCAGCAGTTCACAGCCTGTCACCTGGGGCTTCCACCACCCAGAGCTCAACCTGCAGCTCCACTGAAGCTGCTCACTGAGCCACCTGCACTGAAGGTATTCCTCAACACCAGGTATCAAAACCTGAGCTGAATGGATTGCCTCCATTACCTTCTGTGTTCTCAGGTTCTGCAGCAGATAAAATGTTTGGCTCAGAAAAACTTGATCTATTTTTTGACAACAGAGATGTAGCCTAGAGCAAATTTGAAATGATTCCTAAGACATACCCAAACACCTTCTGCAGTTCTAAATTTTTAATCTCACAAAGGATTAGCCTATTAGGTATTACAAGCAGGCAAACTAGGAATTCTCATTTGTTAAATGCTTTTCTACTGGAAAAAATGCATTAGGATTTTTCTAAAATAACTAAATGCAGTAATTAGAATATTAATAACTAAACAGTAACTGAAAATACAACACTAATTACAGCATGAAAAAGCAAGGTATTCTTATTAATGTCACTTTGAAAAATCAGTCCCACAGAGCCACTTCTTTCCCACTGGATAATTTGATTCAGACTTGTCTCGGGGGTAATCATTCATTAAGAAGATGCTTTACTATGTTGGCATAAAATACCTACTCAAATACGCACTTCACAAACTGAAAAATCTAGGGCCCATAATCAGCTTGGGTAGATTTTTTAGCTCTAGAACAGCTAGTGGAAACATGCCAGCTGATTTACACCATCGTGTTTCTGAATTCCTCCCCCATGTTGTGCTTTCTTGACAGGTATTCAGGCAAGGAGACACCATTATTTCACCTAGTTTAAACTCCATTGTAATAGAAAGTTACAGCACACCTGCAGCACCTGCTCCAGATCCCACCTGTAACATCCTTTTATACATTCTACAATCTTACAGTCCAAAGTAGTTAAAAAATCCAACTGAACAAAGAAACAGGGAATGCTGTAGATAGTGGGAGATGTTATTATTAATGTGCATTATCTGTAAGAAAAGTTACTGGTAAAGAATATAAAGCAGAAGGTGGGAACTGGAGAAAGTGCAAAGCAAAATAAAGCAAAAGAAGCAGAAGACAGGAGAGATCTACTGGCAGCAGATAAGGGGTTTTACACTTACATAGCAGTATTAACAAATGGTGTTAAAGTGCCAGATGACTCATACCAAAACATTTGTCCGTTCAGTCAAAGCAAAATGGTTCAAGTTGATCCTCAACAAATATGAAGCATAAAGAAATACACCAAAGAAAATTTCAGTGGGCTGAAACAGATGATGGACCAATAGGTGCTGCAGTCCTAAGCAGCCAAGTGAAGAGGGCAGCTTTAAGCGTTTCTCAAGACACCCTGAGAACTTGCTGTTGGTGGTGCTCAGTCATTGTGCAAGGACTTGTAGGGAATCCTGTGGCCCTTGTTCAGGCCACAGGCACTGTGGATAGATGAGGAAAATGGCACAACAGCAGTTCACCACCACTGAGTGCCAAAGTCACAGAAAATGCTTCCCAGTGGGGCATGGTTTGAAAAAGCCAAACTTGGTGGAAACTGAATTTTTCTCAAACTGCGGAGAAATTGCTGGAGTCAGTAGAGGGATTGACCTTGAGGTCTGAGAGAGGAGGAGGCAAGCTGGAAAGCATTAGTGGGGGGAATCTCCCATCTGAGCTCTACAGAGATAAGAGTAGCAACATTAGCTCTGGAACCCAGAAGAGTCTCTTCTGCTTCAGCTTCAACTAGAACTGCTTTAAAAGCAAAAGGTACATGTATTTTAGGCCCTGCTGTACCTCTGCAGTAGTGAAACAAGAAACGATGTCGCAGTTGTTTATTCACAGACTGTTTACCTTCTTTAGCCTCCAACAAAGTAACTGCTTCTTGCTTATAACTACAAAAAGGTTTTGCCATCCAGTCATAGAGCAGATGTTATTTTCTCCCCAAGCAACTCTCACAGAACTGATGCTGCGCATTTCACAAGTCAAATCATAGTACACCAGGCTGAAGCTCACATCCATCTAATCACAGGCTTTTAACTGTCTATGCCCATCATAGACTTTTTGCTTTTGGGGACCACTTAGTTTCATTGTCACTTGTACAGAGCAGGCTGATACCAGGCAGATTTATCTGGAGATAACAAGCACACTTGGCCAGGTTCTCAGCTGACATCCATGGAGGTCTATGAATTTACTGTTTGCTGAAAAGCTATATTTTTTCCAGTGACAACCTGCCTTCCTTTCTTCCACTGAAAGAGACATAACAAAGTCTTCCCTCACACCTGTCACACACACGGATGCACAAAGGCATGTGTATTCATGCATTAGAACAGCATTACATGCAGCTAAGATACCAAATAATACCCAAAGCTGACACCTGAGAACTATGATTTATTTTCCTTTGTAACAGTAATACATTTGGAAAATACAAATACTACTTGTTCAGAAAAAAAATAGAGATGTAAGGACCTTCCACTGAAATCTCTTATGAGGAATCATTAACAGTGAATATTTCTGTTGAGGGCTTTTCTCTGCTATCAAAAAAAAATATTTGGTAGCTTCCACTGGGTCTCAGCTTTGCACAGCCAAGAAGTAACCAGTCTGATGCTAAGCTCATTAGTCTTTCCTCAGAGGAACAGGCAATAACTGCTCTGTAATCCTATCCAGCTCCCCCAGCTAAGAGCCAAGAACAGGGCTGGTGGCTGTGTTTATCTTGGACCAGGCTTCGGTTTGTGAGGTTGCAAACATCTGACTTCAGGTAACCTCAAAACTTCAGGAAGAATCGTCAACACACCAGTTTTCCCATTCTGTATCAGGCTTAGGCACAAAATAGGGAAAAAACTCATAGTGCACTGACAGCGTTTCTTGAGGTTTTGACTTTTTTTGAAATCAGATATTTGCAATCTCACATATCTCATCAAACACCAATAGACTCTCTTTGAGAAAACAATGTTCCTCCTTACTGAGACGCAGGACTGCAGACTTTGTGGACTTAAGGAGCTTTTGCACCCAATTCTTAAAATATTTCATTGTACGGAAAAGCTAATGCCCAGTCTGCCCAGTCAAAAACAGTATGACACGCTGGCCAGCTCAGGGAAGATTAAGGAATAGTTTTTCTTGAGATCAGCTCTCCCCCTTCTTACAAACAGAATAGATAGCATTTAGGAGTATGAGGGTCTGCACTTTTAGATATTTAATTTGCATTTGCATAAGAATCATTAGAGACATAAACCCTTAGATACGAAGAGGCAATCTTAATCCAACATGGATTGCTTATATCCTCATGTTCAGTAAAGTAAGTTTTGAAATAACCAGAATAAATAAAAAATTTGGATCAAATTTAGACAGCAGCTTCAGACTGGCATGTGTGTATGTCCCTCAGTTTGTTTTCATGACAATGCATAGAGAAAATGAGAAAAATGCTTGATTTTTAGCTTATTAAAAGGTTTCCTGGTAATTTTCATCTTTGTAAAGTGAATCTTAATAATGGCATTTTCTTTTCAATTATAACAGCTATGCAAGCAGCATGTGAGAAACACAGACATGAAAAACCCACCATCTCCAGGTCTCTGACAGAGTCAAAATGAAGCCATAATTAAAGCATTAAAATCATACAAATGTCAAACACTGGGCTGTAGTAGACAAAAGGCGATGAGAGAAAACAAAATACAGAAAACAATTTTCCAAGAAAACTGAGGCCAATTCAAATTTCAGAAATGGCAACAATTTTATTTAAACAGAGGGGTCTTTATCCAAAACAATCTGCAATGATATCCAGATAAGTTATCCCCTCATTCTTCAACACGACTGACTTACTCTAGTGCCCCTTCGCACCACTGAAGTGATCAAGTTTAAAACTTCTGTTGACAGGAGGAAAAGTGCCATTGAAACATCAGCTTTGGACAGAAGGAGAGCACATTCATTCAGGCTGCTCAGGAAATTATTAAGTAAGGTCCCCTGGGAAAATGTTTTTGCAGGTGCTGGGGTCCATCAGTGCTTTTCAAACATCACCTCGTTTAGGCACAGAAGCAGCAATTCCCAAATGTGAGAAGTCAATCAGGTAAGGCAGAAGGCCAGCTTGGCTGAGCAGGGATCTTCTGTGCTTTGGGTTAATATAATTTCAGAATTATATACATTCTTGTGCAATAACTTAGCTAATTTGTCTGTCAGGAGAGGCTCAGAGAGCTGCAATTGTTCTGTCTGGAGAAGGCGAGGGGGGTGTGTATGAAGGGAGGATTATACATGTACACATGGGTATATAAACCACACAGGGGTAACAAAGACAGAGGAAGAAGGGTATCCAGTGAGCAGAGAAGAGGCAAAGAACGCAAATTGAATCAAAATAAATACCACTTAAACATTTAAAAAACCCTCACTTTTGTGGTGAGGGTGGTCAAGCAGCTGAGCTCCGAGAGATTCTGAAGACTTCATTCCTGAGGTCATGGTCCTGGGCAACCTGCTCCAATAGACTGTGCTTTGATGGATCATTTAGACGATCTCAGAGGTGCCCACAAATCACAGCAATTCTGTAATTCTGTAAATGAACAACCTTAGTTAAAAATAACAGAGATTAGAAAAAGAAACCCAAAAACACAGAAGGGAAATACATTCAAAGATTAAATTTAATTTAATGTAAAAAATTATAATCTAAACATTTAGATTGCTATTTTGCCCTGTCATGTCTATCTATTTGGTGGTGCTGGTTGTAGGAAGAAAGTATGGAGTGGGGAAAAGACTAATAGAGAAAACTAATAGGGAAGAAGGAAACAGGAGATTTCATGGGAGCTCTGAACACTGCTTGGACACAATGCACAGCCACAGAGCTCTGTGAATATCTGTGTCTTTGTATAAGGACGTCAAGACAGAGAAACCCAAGGACATGGATGGGAAGTCCTCTGCATATGGTAAAGGAAAGGATAGCCCCTCTGAAAGCATTTGTCTGGAACAAGAGGTAACTATGGTCCAAGATGAGGAGGGATCCAGGCTGACCAAGGTCATAGATCTGAATGACAAGTGGCCCATGCTGCTGATGGTGATGGTTTGGGAGACGAAGGTGGGTTTGAACAGTATGGCTTTAGAAGAGTTTGATCCTGACAGTGCTGAGTGATGCCAAAATGCACAAGGGATGGCAGTAGAGTTAGGTGATACAGAGCGTCCGATAAATGGTGACAGACCTTAAAAAGGGCCACAGATGTATCAGCGTCTGTAAGAGTAGTGAGAACTCAAATCAAAATTACATCTCTGCTCCGAGAGTACTCCAGGATATAAAACAGAAGGGAAAGAAAAGTGACAGGTTTCTGTGGAAAATCAGACAGAAGAGGAATACTTAATGAAAAATATACTAATTTTTAAAAATGGTTAGGCATTTTTATTTCTTGGAACAGACACCAGGTTTTCTTTCTCTAATGGGGTGAATATTTGGCAGGCTGCACTATCTTAACTTGCATAAGAGCAGTAATTATCAATTTAATAATTTAAGTAAGTAAGTGAAATCTTCACATTCGTAGTTTGCTGGCTTTCAAGCACTAAGTTTCTAATCAATATTTATTTCCTCAGTATTCCCAACTGGAATAACCTATGACAATTTACAGTCCTTCCAAGTAACCAAAAACTAAAGAGAAAATACTATTGTAACAATTTTAAACTACCATGTAGCTTATTACCCTCTTTCAGAATTAATTTGCTATACTTTAATTATACTCCTCTACTACAATGTGCTCATAAGTATTTCGCACAAAGGCTAAACAAAACAACATCCTAAACTTGTGCCATTTATTGTGACAGTCTGACAACTTGTTGTGACAGGCGTAACAGATAGGGCAGCAAAAACTGAGAAGCAAAGGCTGGCTGACTGACTTTTGTTTCAGCAGATGACACTCTTGCTTGTTTACATTTTTAAGAGTGATCAGAACCAGAAAGACTATTTTCAAAGTAATTCAAGTTTCAGAAAAGCTGCGATGTAAACAGAGATGCAGTCTTAGGGGAGGAAGCAAAGCCATAGCTTTATAATCTCATGGAAAACCTTAGGGGAGACATGAACTTAATTCCTTGCATGCAAGAAATTTGGGATGAGAGTTTCTTCCTGACTCAGTCCAGGCTGACTGGCAGCTTGAGTCAGGGCTGGACTGGAGATGGTGCTACCAAGTCCCTGTTAAAAATCAGTCTCCCAGCCTCTTCTCCTGAATGCAGGCTGTCACAGCTTGGCAAAGAAATCAGATCACCTTTCTCCTTTCCTGGGCTGTGAGATGTGGATTTGGAAGTCATAGAATCATAGAATATCCTGAGTTGGAAGAGACCTATAAGTATCATTGAGTACAGCTCCTGGGCCTGCACAAGACAACCCCAAGAATCACAGCATGTGTTTGAGAGCATTGTCCAGATACTTCCCATGGAGGCTTAGATAGACCAGGAAAAAAACAGTTTTAGTATTAGATACATACCCTTTTGGCAAAAGAAGAGGTACTTTCTGCATCGCTGCACAGCTCAAGAGTTCAGACAGATGAAGGCCTTGCAAAAAGTCACTATTTTGCTCAAATATGTGGAAAACCCAAACTTAAAACTTCTTACTGGTAAACAGAATTGCCAGCCCTGGCTGGCTCTGTTCATGACTTCAGCACAATCAAAAGACAAATCATTCACCAGTCACTAGTTCATGACCATGAAGACCTGAGTAAAAAATCAAAATATTCCTAAAAAGGGTTGGAAATGTGCACACCAGTACATTCCAAAGCATACAAAGTGTATTTGAAAGCCATCTACAATATCCCAAACAACTAGTTCACCAGAATTCACTAGTCACATACCCAGACTGCACAAATAATAACCACAGACTGGAAGCAAGAAGATCCAAACTGTACTGGAGATAAAATTCTCAGATCTGTTTCTTGCTTTCCTGAAAGAAAAGCAGCCAAACAGATTTAAGATTAATACTGCTGGTAATAAAAAGCAGCTCTTATAAATCCAGAATGTGCAATATGTAATACCTCTTAAAATGATATTGTCCAGTAAGCACTGTATTTATACATTGTGACAATAATCAGATGGAAACCTGATGAAGTTAATCATGCAGAGGCTGTACTGGAACCAAGAAACATGAGAAAGCTTAAGAGGAGGAGATGGAGATAAAAACTACATATAAAGGTAATCAAGTCCCTATGTCTGTGTCCATCCAGCAGAAGGAGGTGTGAGGACAGAGGATACATTTTTATCTTGTGCTGTGCAAACATCACATAAGATATAAAAAGAGAAGAAAATTACTTACAAAAATGCTATGAAATTCCACACAATTCAAATTAAAAGGCTTTTCAATTATCCACCATTGTGAAGACATTTGCTTCCCTGGCCATTTTAGTCAAGGGCTGCACAGAATGACAACCTGAAAGCATGGCAGGGCTGACACAAAACCTTCTCATGACAATATTCTAGCTTCTCCTGTTAGACCAGTGTTTAGCAGCACTGACAATATAGTACTTCAGGAGCTGGAACTCAAGCAGGACACAGCCAGACTCAAGGCAGGTAGCACAAAACTCAGGTAACTGGAAGCTCAACCAGTTTGCATCTCCATGAAATACCGGCAATCGTCAAGAGCTGGCTGCTTGGCAGAGGAGCCTTGGGCATAAGGACAAACCAGAGGGGCTGAGCTGATGCACAGCTCCCAAGCGCTGGGGAGGCCCCCAGCACAGCCCCTGACACCTCCGCCAGCAGCAGCACAACCCCAGACTACAGGGCTGCAGTGTGTGAAGATAGAGGAGACACAGGGAGAGGCCTGGAATGCAATGCCCTCAGGGCTCTGACATTACCTTCACACAGTTCATGCTCTGTCCATGTTGCCCTATCTATCAAATATCAGAGAAGTTTAGGGTACATGCAGAAAAATAAACAGAAAGGTGCTAAAAGGAGAAAAGGTTAAATAAATATGAGAAGAGAGAGCAGAGGGAAAATGTCAGCTCTGTAGCTCTTAAGCATTTGTAGAGATGCTGTTAATCATTGATAAAATTTATTATTTATGAGCTTCTTTATGATGTCTCAACAGGGAAGAAGATGCTCCATGCAAGGCCTCCACTGTCCCTTCAGGAACACCTTGATTAAGTGTAAACAAATGCATCTACATAACTGCATGTGGGTTTTAGCTGCAAAATACTACTGAAAACAAACAGCCCAGGCAGGGTGATGTATCTTACAACAGTTATTCACCTATTTGATTTCATAATGCTGGTTTGGGATGCTCTTGTGCTGCAGATGCCCAGGATACCATAAATTTTCCTCATTCTTGCATTACTCTCAGCTAACCAATTCTATTTTAGCATCTGTGGAGATGGGGTGACCACTTCTGGGAACCATCAGAGATTAGACTATGAACTGGTTTTTTATGTTTTTAAGATCACCACTTAAGTACTCTATGTACACAGAACATGCAGAAGAGCCTACGATCTCCTGGCAAGAAGTTGAGCTTTGCTGCTGGTCTCTATTCTTTATCTCAAACTCTGGGATGCCAAAAGATGGCTGTAACAACTAAATTCTTCTAATGAAGAAGCCCAGATCTTCCATGATATGTATATAACTTCCACTCAGCTAAAAGTCTAGACATCCACATCCATCTAGAATCACACTAAACAGCACAATATTCTAGTGACAAACATTCAATAGGGGAAATAGGCCAAGGCAGTCAGTTAAACACAAGGTCATCAGTCATCCTAAATCCACTTAAATTTATAAAACTTTTAGCTCCCTAGGACACCTTTTTTAGGAAGGAGAGGTATGTAAATTCATCTCATTGTCCCATGCTGTGCATAAGGAAAGAAATATTCCTTCCCACCATTAAGGAAACTTCTCTGTTCAATCATTCAGAAGCCACTCAGTCAGTCACTCTCACACCTTGAGCTGGGACCCAGGCCCCCCCCAGCTACACCCCCCGTACTCACACAGCCAGACCAGCTTCCTTAACAGCTTGACCTCAGGTTTCCCATAGCAGAGTCACAGGCGACTAGATCCTTAAAATAATTTAATCATGGTACAATAACTAAGTAACAAAATAACACCTTGAGCTGGTGCCTCTCAGAAGGGACTCTGAACAAAAGAAACCCTGGGCTTTTATACCCTCACAGTCTAACGATGGGAAAGTCTAGGGGTCCTTGGCTCCTGCTGTGTCTCTGAGTGTCTGGTCCCTTGGTCCCTATGCCCTTTTTTAAGCAAAGGGTCAGCAGTTAACCACCTCTTGCTTGGAGCTTGAGCTGGGGCTCCTGCCCCCAAGAGCTCAACCTGCAGGTTGCACACCAAGCCACTTGCACCAAATGTATTCCTCAACACTACTTCTACACCCTCCTATATACTCACACCTCACCCATATTCCCCCCAGACAACATATATGTTCTTTTAATTTAGAAATCCAGCAGCCTGATGACATGGGGTGAGGAGAAAGCACGCCCAGAAAGTGTGCTAAAGATGTCAGGGCTCTAGCTCAGCATAATTAGTCAGAACAACTGATTTGCTATTACACAATAGTTCTACATGGGCAAAGGCTAAAGTTCATTTTTTCAATTACATTATTATTGCTGGAGGAAATATATGTGGAAGTGGTACTGATAATGATAATCTAATTGGTGACAATTAGATTGGTGACAATTCTTTATAAGAAACCATCTCTCTGGTAGTGGTGGTTACAACACAGGTACTATGCTGCATACTATTTTCAACATGTCTGCTCAGTGCTGTGTAGGAGATGGCATCATTATTCACCTGTTTCACTATAGGACATGGTAAGGGTATTTTGTAACATCGATTTGTTCTTTGGTAATCTTTGCTGTGGTGCCGGCTGTTTTCCTTTGAATTGTACACCAGTATTGTTTTCCACCACTGCTCTGTAGCAATCAATAAGCCTGTGCAAAAAGAGAGCAATAATGCAATTAATTTCTGACTATAGCATACATTTTGGCATGTTAAATAAAGGATTATTCATATTCCCGAGATAATCACTCCAACTTAGTTTAGCCAACCAAAAGGTATCATAAAACACAGCCCTGCAAATCTGACAGTAAATACCAAAGCTCACATTATAACACTAGAAAATATGGAACGAAAATAAAAAAAAATGGTGGTCTTTAATCATAATTCAGAGTACTGGAATTGTTGCATTAGTTTTAAAGTGAGTAATGGCACCTAGTGTGTAACGATCACCCTGTAATAAATCTCTCACACTCTGAAATTGAGATGCCTGCACAAAAGACTGTGATATTAAACAATATGAGGTTTTGCTTTGTTGCTGAACTCTTTATCTTCATAGCTTTATTTTCCCCTTTATTTTGTTCTTAGCCTGGAAGGGACAATTTAATCTAATTGTTTTACTATGACCCACTTCATAGCAAAAGTCAAAGAGCCTTACTGAGTTATTTCTGCATCAACTTGCCATGAAAAATGAACCACAGAAATTTCCTTTGTTGTACTTGAAAAAAATAAACAATACAATGGGATTGATGAAATCTATTTCCACTCATTAATGCCTCAGCCTAAAATTACTGGTTTCTTCTGTATTGATCCTTATTGTGTGATCTGGAGAACAGCTGGTCCCCATGAAAAAACATCTACGATTATAGGTAAAGCAGTAGAGGTTGCCTGTAGAGTACCTGAAGACAGCTTGATCACGAGCTTGTGATGATCCACTGTATTTAATTATCTGTGTGATTCCTGCTGAGTTTTCACCTGTGACAACTGAAGCAGGAGTGCTGGAAATTACCCATCACAAAGAAACATCACCTGAGAAAAAGAAGGAGCAAAAAAAGATTAACAGTTCAATACAAGCTTCATAATGACCACACATTTTGAGATCCAGTAGGCTGCTGCCTGGTCTGTGCAGGAAAATGACAAATGAATGCTGTTTAACATTCTGCTTGAACAGGTTTTCCATTCAGAAAACTATTTGCAATATAATAATGAGAAATGCAGAGCTGTGAAGCATTTTATAAGGCCAATTACCTTTCTAGGGTATATCATTTGATACATGCTTTGTTTATCCAGAGTAAATTCAGTGGTTGAAAAGATTAATGGAATATATTTTATGTTACTTCTACATGCTTTCAGAGAGGAAGTGACTTGTTTTTTTCTTATTGACTCATGCACAAGAGCTTGCAATACACCAGTAACAGTAAAATGACTTTTCTAAATTTAGCAGTTCATAAATCTTGCATGGCACCAGTCCATTCAGTGGTATGTTGTTTTGAGTTCTCTTCCTTTCTTTCATGTCTTTCTCATATATCCGAAAAAGAAACAGAAGTGCATGCAGGAGGTGCACAATATTTGCCTTTGCTTTTCTGCTCTCCTCTGGTACAACAGGCATCTGTCAGCTTACTCCTGCTCTCTCCCCTTCTCTCTCCCTCTCTCTCCAAAAACATATAATGCATGCACGTGTGTACACATATACACACACGCATACCTTTATTTTTTTTCCTCTTCAGCTAATGGAGAAGAAATTACTACGACTTCGAGGCACAAATCCCTGTGGTTTGAATGAGCCATGTGATCTGGTTCATGTAGGTGGCTGAGAATAAAACTGTTACCACCCCAGATATGCTTTACCAGGTGAACGATCCTAAAAAAAGTTATTTCATAGTTCTGCACCTCTTTGCCCCTATGCACTTCATTTTCATCTCAATGCCTTGACAGTAGCTTGTCACCTAGTTGTGGCTTGTTCTGTGCATAACACACCGGATGCCTGACCTCTAAGGGCTACAGGTGTTCCAAAATAAAATGGTAATATTGCCACACACACTGCTTCACGTTATTCATCAGGACTGAAGAGTAACTTGGATGTGCACTGGGTCACTTCACATCTTGTGCAAAAAAGTCTTTAGAACTAAGCATTCCCGAGCATCTCACAGAGGACGTTTGTCCTCTACTTTCTGACAACCCTTGCTAATTCAGGTTTCCTTCAGTTAATTTAGTTGCCCTTTTGGAGACCACTGAAAATGTAGATGAGCAGGTTGCCTAGCTAAGCTTGGGTCATTTTCAGGTCTTCTGTCATGCCACAGTAAAGGCTGTGAAACCTACCGAATTGCAGTCTTAGCCTGCGGGGAAGTGACACTTCAAATGCCTAAAAACCGAGGCACCGACCATCTCTGACACTGCTGATGACTGATCTACCAACTAATGTTCAACAGATACGAACACCAGCAGAAGCAGCATTTTCTGCAGCCAGACTTTGGATTCCAGTCCAGTTTGGAGACAGGAATATACACTGCCTCATGCTTCTTCCTCATAGAATTTCACTACAATGAGATGAACTTTAAGAACTCAATTTGAAGCACAGCAAGCAGATGCTAAAGGAGGAGAGCCCTGTGCAGTGCACCCTGGGTTATTATCTATTCCTTATAGGATGAATCTCAAATAAGGTTCCATCTCCACGTGCTGTACATGCATGCAGAGCAGGAGATATCCCTGGTGGGTTTACATGCTCTCATATCTCTCCTGAAATTTCATGATACCCTAGGGTTGGCAGATAAGATACCTTCTCAAAAGGCACCTGGAAACTAGGCAGAATATCCACAGAAAGTCAAACAGCCCCAGACAAGGTTATGTGGGTCATTAAATCCAGTACCATTGCTGACAGAAGTCTTCTGGTCTAAGACTACAAAATTATGCCAGGTGAACTCTGGAAGAGGTTTGATACATCTCACTCCTACCCGGAGCTGATCAGTGCATCTCAGTCCTCATCCTGGTTTTGGCTAGGATAGAGGTAATTTTTTTCTTAGTAGCAGTACAGTGCTGTGTTTTTGATCCAGTAGGATAATAATGTTGATGACACACTGATGTTTTGGCTGTTGCTAAGCAGTGGTTACCCTGAGTCAAGGACCGCCCAGTGTCTCATGTTCTGCTAGTAAGTGCACAAAAAGATGGATGGGAGCATATCTGGGGCAGGTGACCCAAATGGACCAAAGGGATATCCCACACAATAGAATGTTATGCCTAGTATATAAACTGGGGGAGTTACCCAGGAGAGGGTCTTTCTGGGTATGGCATTGGCCAGAAGCAGGTGAGAAATTTTACTGTGCATCACTTGTTTCTCTTGAGTTCTCTCTCTCTCTCTCCTTTTTATTACTATTACATTTTATTTTGTTTCAATTATTAAACTGTTCTTAACTGAACAAAAAATGTTCGCTTTTTTTTTAAAACTGGATTCTCCTTCCCAATCCACCAGGGAAGGGGTAAGTGAGCGAGCAGCTGCCTGGTACTTAGTTGCCACAGCTGGGGTTAAACCAAAACAGTTCTCTTCAGCAGAAGTAAATTGCTTAATAGCAGCTGACACTGTGAGTTGACCTGCTTACTCCCACTTTGCAGGTAGGTGCAGCAGGAGTGATGAGCTGGTTTACATAAAGCAGCACTGGAAAGCAATGGCTGCTTGTGGTAGACTCATTTTCCTCAATTGTGTTCACTGCCCTATACAAAGAAAATAACCCTTCACATTTTAATGACAATTTCCTAGCAATGTGTGTCACGAAAAACAAACAGACGAAGTTTCCCCACAGTGTAAATGTCTCCTTGAAGTATTGATAATGCTCTTGACAGCTTGCTCTTTTCCAGTGTTTGCAGGAGATCCCATGCAGCATGCAGTTCCTGAGCCCTCAAGACCAGACTCCCAGGGGACTCCCAGGTGGCATAACATTTGCTCTCTCAAAACCCACTGTATCACTCTGCTCTTCTTTTTCCTCATTGCACTGACATTTTTAAGCAGAACCATTTCATAAGCACTGTGGCCATGACCATGCCATCTCCCACCAGACCTCTTCCATTCCCAACCAGCATAACGAGGAAGGCATCTTTCCTAGTTGTCTCCCAGACCACTCATGACAAGAAGTTCCCTCCCACAAACTTCAGGAGTCTTTCAGACCAGCACAGCGTAGAGGGTAGCATTTTCAGCTGGTCTCTAGGAAATTGAAATCTGCCATAAGGACAAGGGCTGCCAATCCAGAGATTTCCCCTAATTGCCTGTAAAGTCCTCAGCGCTGGCACACTGGCTGGGCAACTGGAAGAAGACACCCACTACAACATCTGCTTTGTTTTCCACCCCCTCATCCTCACCCAGAGGCTCCCAACCACATCATCACCGACTGCGAGGGCTGTACATCTAACCTCTCCCTTGTACCTAATGTGACATGTTCACCTGCCTGCCTGCTGGGGACACCCCAGCCTCTCTGGACCCCTTCCCTCCCCAGTAGAAGCTGGGGAGGCTGTTGGGACTGAGCAGAACAAAGGGAGCCTTCACACTCCCTCCAGACCAGATAACAGTGATGCCATCACTATGGTTCCCACCATGTGGCCCCAGGGCCTGCCAGTGACCCAGCTCCTTCATACATTTGTGCTCCCCAAAATCTTCTAATCCCAAGGCAGAGATCAGTCTGACTCCTGCAGCCCAGGGATGTTCTCAGGGGCAAGAGTGGAGGGGACTGACTGCCATCACTCTTGACTCTCTCTCAGGCTCGGCCAACCTCTGCTGACTGGTCAGGCAGCAGCAGCCCTTCACCACAGCCTGGGTACTCTGGGCTGACGAAGACCACAGTGAGGGAGGCTGTCCCCTTCAGCCCATGCAGGATCACAGTGGAGCAGAACCGCACCTGCTCCCTGTGGAGAAGCCCCACACTGGAGCAGGTGGACATGCCCTGAAGGAAGCTACAGCCCAAGGAGATTGCACACAGGAGCAGCCGCCTGGCAGGAGCTGCAGCCTGTGCTTAGGAGCCCACATAGGAGCAGGTTTTCTGGCAGCTGCAGCAGTCTGTTCCTGAAGAACTACACCCCTGTAGAAAGGGCCCATGTTAGAGCAGAGGAACAGTGTAAAGAGTTATGAGAAGTAAGACAGTGTTATGGACTGACCACAACACTGTAACCCATCCTTCTGCACAGATGGAAAGTAGGAGGTAGAAGAGCCTAGAATGAAAGAGTGAAGATGAGAAGAAGAGAGGGGGAATTGGGTTTAGTTTTGTCTTTGTTTCTTGTCCACCTACTCAATTTTCCATTGGCAGTAGAAGACACTAATTGCCCCCGAGGCTATCTGGCCAGTGAGAGTAATCTCCCTGTCCTTATCTCAAACCAGCCTTCTCATCTTATTTTGTCCCCAGTCTTGTGGAGAGAGGAAAGCAATGGAGAAGCTTGGAGAGTATATGGCAGGCAACCAGCCAAGGTCAAACCCACCAAACTCATGAAGGCAGTAATACAGGAGAGAGAGAAGGCATCTTTCTCATCCAGCCCTAAGAGCTACTGCTGTGTGCACAGATATGGGACAAAGCCAGAGAAGAAGACTCTGCCTGGAGCCCTGTGCCTTGCACATAAATGCAGCAGGACATCTAGGGTGTGCTGAGGTGGATGAGTATTGGCTATTGCAAGGAGGTTGAGAGCAGCTGCTCTCTTGCCAAGGCTACAGACAAGGCAGATGTCTTCAAGCATGCAGCGGTAGGGCATAGAGAAGAGGAAAAACAGCCTCCTTGAGAGCAGCATAGCTGCAGGACACAAGGCTGCAACAAGAAGAATAAAAAAATAAACCTGAAAAAAAAAAAATATTTCCCAAGGGAACACTCAAATGTTAGAAGGGGTAGCACAGAGGGGCCATCCAGTTTTGGGAGAACTTAAAACTGAAAAAATCCCAAGCAATCTGATCAAAGTTCCTGCTTTCAGTGAAGGAAGAGATCAGAAAATCTCTAAAGCCCCTTCCAACCTGCAGTACTCCTGACTGCACAAACATCCAATGGTCTGTATAGGTAAGACACCCAAAACCAAAAGAAAAATGCTCTGTTCGCAAAACACATAGTACATATTAAATGTGTTTAAAAAAAAAAGAAAAGAAGTCTTATTGCTTTATTCAGATTTTGACATAGCTTACCTTGAAATTACTAGAAGTCCTCTGAGGATCTCTGTAGAAATCACTGACTACTTTTCAGCAGAGATCAGCTTAAACCAAAGAGATTGAAATGATGCTGGAATTCAGACTGGATAATTTCTTATGAACCAAACATTTTTTCCCTTGTCTAAGAAGGGCAATCCCCATAAAATTACTTTTCTGGCTTTTGGTTTGGGCTCCTTTTCTGTCATTTGGTTTAAGCAAAACTTTGAAATACTGTGGATGGCTTTATCAAATTACAATTTCTAAACAGTCTTCCAAAAAAAAAAAAACTTTTAAAGTTACATACTAGCAATTCTCTATCTTCTTCGACTCAAAAGTGCATACACATTCAAAGGTTTTACACATTTCCCAGACATCTTTTAACAGAGAGAAATCGTACCAGATATTTTAGTTCTTAAGGGGAAAAAAAAAAAGGCAGTTAAATTCACAATTTCAAGAAATGTTTTGTGGAAAGTGTGCTACATTTTTTCTTCTGGGAAACCAAACCAAGAGGATTTGTTGACAAGTCTCTTTGGTAGTCTTAGAATCAGTGGTTGTCTCTCTGGATGCTCTGGGAAGGAAATCCTGGGGGAAGATAGTTGACTGGAAGGCGCTGCTGGTGCTTCCTGAACATAGCTGGTTACAGTTTCTGTGTGAGAGGTGTTACTGCTGGTATCTGCTGTGATAACACTCTGATCACCTGCTGTTCCTTGAAGTTTGACATCAGCCTTTCTAATGTCACCATCTAAGTCTTCCCTTGTGGTAGGGATACTGCACTTTTTGTCTGCTTCTCCAGTTTCCTCACATCCTGTCCTCAGAAAAGAAGATGGAGACTCATTTTCCCCCTCGTTTTTCAGAGTTGTGCCTGTCCAAGTAATACTGCTGTCCCATTCAGTACTTTCTGGCTCCTTGCTACTGTCACTATCAATTGTAATCACCACTGGAGAAGAATGTGCTGAGTTACTGATGTGATGTTTCCTGTGTTTCTTCTTGTGCTTTTTCTTTTTTTTTTTAAGATGCCTCGTTGTGTCCGTTGCTTTTCCCTCGAAGACTATCTCCACACTTGGACTCCTCAACTTCTTCTTCCTTTTTTTACGCTTTGTCTCATTACTTGCTCGATTGTCTGACGGGCTATCTTCATTTTTGCAGCAGTCACTGAATTTTGAGGAAGTTTTCTTGGGGTCATTTTCTCTTTCTAGACTTATGCTCTCCATGAATGCATTCTCCAGGTGGCGAGTTTTGTACTTCCTTTTTCCACCAGGCTTTTCGCTTTTCATTCTGTCAGTTCCTCCAGAAGGAGTCCTTGACCTGTTGCTCGACCGACTCCTTGACCTGCATCTTTCATAACAGTAATAGTGTCTCTCATGGAGTCCCCTCTGGCTATGCAGGTCTGTCCTTTCAATAAATGACCGTATCCTGTATTCTGGACTAGCAGATTGCCTCGAATAAAAAGTATTAGATCGTGTCCTCCTCCTACTGGAGGATTCATAGCTATCCCCAAACACCTTTCTACTACAGAAAGCAGAACCCCATTGATGTCTACTTTGATAACTGTCTCTTACATAATACCGATCACTGTCTCTACTTCTTGATCTCCTTTTACTGTAGCCTTTGCTACATGATCGTGGTCTGCTTAATTCTCTGGATGGAGTGCTCTCACCACTCAGAGAGCCTCTCTGGCTTTTCAGAGAGGCTCTGCTGTCACGAGCCCTCGACCTTCTACTGCTTCTTTTGCTTCTGTGTTTGCTGCTATCTCTGCTTCTTGATCGTCTCCTTTTAAGCTGGCTTTTGCTATGGTGCTCCCTCCTAGACCGATGGCCATGACTGCCTCGACTGCTCCGTGAACAGGACTGTGGGCTTCTAGACTTTCCCTTCCTGTGATTCCAAGGGGAACACACTGTGTCACTCCCTGGAGAGGGGCTCCAGTTCAAGTCCCGTGGAGGCAGATCTTTTCCCTCACATTTTTTCTTCTCATCTTCTTTTGACTCTGTCTTCTCAACTGTAGGAGATAAACAGCTTCTACAACTACCTGCATCTTCCTTATACGTTGGGGAACATGGTGAGAAGCTCCTGCTTCGTTCACTGTCACTCCAGCTGTGACACTGGACTAGACGCTGTTTCTTGACATCCTCCCTTTTCTCTTCTCTGATGGATTCCTCAGAGTCTGAGGACAGTTCAACCACTTCTGGTGTCCTCTCAGCTAATGGCTTTACATACCCAACAATGACACAATTGTCTGAGGAAGAGCCACTGTCATTTGAGTCAACATTAGCCTGTAACTGAGTCTGCAGTTTGGTTCTTTGACTCCCTGTAGCAGAGTCCTCATCAGAACTTTCATATGATTCCAGAGGAGAAGCTATGGTTGCACGAACCTCTTCTGAAACGGAATAGGAAGGCCCTGGAGTTTCATCATCCCAGGGGGCCTGACCAAGACCAGGCACAGACGAACTGTTATCTGGCCCTTGAGAATATGCCACATCTGGAGATATTGTAATAATTGATGAGTCTGAATGGCTTCCTTCCTCATATGATGGTGCAGGACAATCATAATTGGCATGTTGATCGTATGCTTCTAAGTTAAAAGGACAACGAGCAAAACTGATGAATTCATGCAGGAAGTGTTCTGTCCGATTCAGCAAAAATGGCTTTAAATCATCAGCAAAGGCCTGACTTTCAAGATCATACCTAGTCACGTTACTCATGATTATGTGCTGTACAATATTAACCAAAGATCCATGGGCACCAAACAGGACTGTAAGTTCTCGCTTCAACCAAGGAACCAACCGGTGGAGGCAGGCAGGGTTGCGGCGGAAAAACTCTGCAGAGATGTCTCGATAGCGGCCGCCATCCTGAATGCCGCGGATACGCACACCAGTACGGTAGAGGGCTCTGCGGAAGTTGATCATGTCCTCCTCCTGAATCTGCCGCAGAGATCTGCCCTCTGCGCTAGCCTGCCTCCTTGAGGCCAGCCTCCTCATCATCTGATGAATCTCTCGGTGTCTGTGACGCACCGGCTCGCTTGACAACCCTTCAAACAACATCCCGTTATCTGGAGGGGACAGCATCCTTCGGGAAGGGGAACTGCGATTGCGGCGTTCCCTTGTTAAGGTAGTACGGTAACGAAACCTCCGGCCATCAGGGCTGGCAAAAGAGCTGTTTTCTAAAGGGCTGAGTACATACTCCTTAAAGTCATCTTCAGCACGAATTGTATGGAAAATGGAAAAAAATGGTTGCTTGCAGAGGGGGCATTCTGCTTTGTTTTTTGACCACTCCTGGACACAGCGGAAGCAGAATCTGTGCAAGCAGCGATCTAGATATGCAACATTGTCAAATCTATCCAGGCAGATGGGGCATTTGGAGTCAGGAGATGCATCTGTTGGCAGCTTGCTGGTGCTGGCTTTTGGTGCAAAGTTGCTGTCTTCTGCAAACTCTTTATCTACTGAAGTCATGTTCTAGAAAAGACAGAGATAAAAGATGATTGATATGACTGAGAAGCAAAAATCTTACTGTCTAGATGTGGAAACCCATAGTAATCACTTTTAAGGTTGCAAAACCCAGAAGTAGCTATAAGGAAATGCTGAACAAAGAGGCAGCATGACCTAACTACTTAGTCAGGCTTCTCTTCACAGTGAGATCTAGCTCTTCAGTGCCGCAAGTTTTAAAGAGCACTTGAATCATGAAGTAACAGGCAGGACTGTCTTCTTCCCCATTCTTAAATAACTGCTTCAATGTGGTCAGTAAGTTTATGATTTACATGGTATCCTCCAAAACACAGCTCTAAAAGACTAGCATTCATGTATGACAAATATGAGAACAGTTAGTTCTGTACTTTAAGAGAAACCAGTCAAAACAAGTAATTGCACTCGAGCTATATTATCACCTTCCAAGTTCTGCTGGACCTATCCTGTTTCTGAACGCCCTGTCCCTCTTTTGTTGGGTACTCATGCTGGACTACACACAGCTTGTTGGATTAGACAGCCTCCAGGGATGTGTTCCTGCCAGGATAAGTATTTGTCTTTAAGACTGAAGCAGAAACAACCAGGTGTCATTCTTACACCCATCCTCAGGTACACACTGCCTTTGTATCTAATCAGGTTGTCATGCTGGTTTTGGCTGGGGTAATCAACTTCCTTCACAGTGACTAGTGCAGGGCTGTGTTCTGAATTTGTGCTGAATATAGGGTTAATAATATCGAGATGTTTTATTACAGCTGAGCAGTGCTTATAGAGAGCCAAAGCTTTCTCTGCTTTTTGTACTACCACACTGGTTAGGAAGCTGGGGATGCATGGAACACTGGGAGGAGACACAGTCAGGACAGGTGATCCAAACTGATCAAAGGGATATTCCAGACCACATGACATCATGCTCAGTATGTAAAGCAGAGGGAAGAAAGAGGAAGGAGAGGGATATTCAGAGTGTTCACCTTCCCAAGTCATTGTTATGCATGACGGGGCCCTGGTCTCCTGAAGGTGGCTGAACATCTGCCCACCCATTGGATGAAGTGAACAAAATCTCCTTGGTTTGTTTTGTTTGTGTGCACAACTTTTGCTTTCCCTATTAAACTATCTTTACCCACGAGTCTTCTGGCTTTTTCCTCTCCAATTCTCTCCCCCATCCCACTGGTGGAGAAGTGAGTGAGTAGCTGCGTGGGGCTTGGCTGCTGGCTGAGGCTAAAGGTTAAACCACTACAGATGTCAAACGTGGGTAAAAAAAAAAATCTATCCACTCAAAAATTATTTTAGGCATTGGCGTTATTCTAAGGCATTATAATTCAGCGGGAATAAGTCGCCACGCTACTTCCAAAGTGATAAGCCCGCATTTAGCAGCAAGTCCGGAAGCAGGTGTTCCCCGCCGGCAGGACACCAGGCCCCAAGCGCGCCGTGCAGGCCAGAGGGACACACGCCCGGACACGCGGGGGCCGGGGGAGCACCAGCGCAGGGACACGGGCGCGGCCGCTACCCCGGGAGCGCCCACGGGGCGTCACAAAGAGGCCCGCGTCCCGCGGGGTTTCACGGCCTGGGGGCTCCGCCCGGGCCGCTGCGGGACCACTCCCCGCCCGCTCCCTCCCCTGGGGACGCCCCCGGCCCGCTACCCGGAGGGCCCGGCGCCCCCGCCCGCCCCAGGCCCGCACTCACCGCCGCCGGTCCCTCGCTCCCTGCGCGGGCCAGTGCCGCGGCCGCCTTCAGCCTGTGGCGGGTCCGGCAGCGCCCGGCGCCAGGAGGCTCTCGCCGCTCCTCCCCCGGCGGGCGGCGGCGGCGGCGGGCGGCCTCCGCCAGGCGCCGGGACGGGTCCGCCATGAGCGGCGTTGCCACGGGAACTGCTCCTCCCGAGCCGCGGAGCAGCGCCGAGCCCTGCCGGGACAGAGGCGCCGCCGCCGCCCCGTCATATCCGCGCCTGGAGATGACGTATTCCGGGGCGGAGCCTCCGCTGAGCGCGGGCCGGGGCGGGGCAGTGATGGCGCCGCCGGGGCGGAGGGACCGGGCGCCCTGTGCTGCCTGGGGCGAGCTCGGGAGCTCAGATGCTCTGCCTTGTGTCCGGGGGAAGCAGGGCTGGGAGCACCTCTCGGTGGAGGCAGCGGACGCTGGTGGATAAAAGCGTGGGGGGACTCCCGGCAGTGTCGCCGTCAGCGCGTGATGCGCTTTGTCCCGCAGGCGCTGGCTGCCGTGGTGATGCTCTCTTGGGGCTTCGTTCTCTACGGGCAGCGGGAGAGCGGCATCCTGGCCCAGGGACTGCCCTGAGCACTGGCCACCCTTGTCTCCGAGGGTGCAGAGTGAAGGCTGGAGGAGTCCTGTAGTCTTTTGGCCAAATAAAGCATGAATAGCACTTAGGAGAGAAGAGGTAAATAAAGCATAAACAGTTCTTAGGAGAAGACCTCATCTTTCTGATTTTTACCTGTGAGAGACACATATGCCAAAGCACAGACAAGGCCAGCTCTGCAGGCTGCTTCCCAGATGAGGCGCTGCCTCCCACAGCGCATACATGTATTAGTACTAGGACTCGTGTAGAACGTGAGCACAGCCAGCCACGTCCCTTTTCTGCAGCCAGTATGGTTTGACGTTCACAAAAGCACACATAACTCACAGATTCCCAGAGTACCAGCACAGTCCTTCTGTTAGTGTGATAACCCTGCCCCATATCCTGAGCCATTTTACTCATTCCCACGCACCAGCTGTCCAGCTTCCTGCTCAGGAGCAAACACATACTTCTCAACAGGTGCCCCACTCCCGCAGATATCCCCAGGTAACAGCACAGGCATGTGCCTCACACTCTGCCTGGACTCAGAGCCTCCACCAGCCAGGTAGCCCACCTCTGTTCAGGAGTGACATCCCCAGCCCCAATACTTTTCCCTGGTGCCTGGGGGAGATGCAACCACTCTTGTCTTCACAGCAGGCAGCAGCAGGCATGTGGGCTGGGATCTGCATTCCTGCTTTGCATGCTGGATTCACTCACTTTTCTCCCCTCAGTTCCCCCAGTAGGTGCACCCGGGGCACACATACCAGTCCTGCCCCAGTGGCTGGAGCGGAGACCCTCGCTGTCATCTCTACCCTTTGCTGGCATTGAGACCCTTACCCACTCCCATCACTGGCATGATAGGAGGGATCTGCATCCATGGTCATACTCTGTCAGCTTCCTGACTGCTGTGTGTGTGTGTCAGCTCTTAGGCAAAGTGGGGTCCACAGTCTATGTCTGGGTCACTAAAACGAAAAGATGGAAGGTACTCCAGACTGTTCACAGTGGATTATCATTTATGAGCTGAAAGGCAGCCATTCTGGAAGTAAAAGAGATCTCTTTTAGGTGCTGGTTTTCTACATAGCTGGGAAGAACAGAAGTCTACTGGCTCCTCTCCCACTGCTGACACAGACTGGCAGCACATCATCCCACCCACAGACCTACTGAAGCTGGGGAAAAACCTTTCTTTGGAGGGGATTGGACCTTTTTCCTGTGCCATTAGATCCTCTGGGGTCCCTTGGTCAGCAGCAGGAGTTTTTCCCACCAGCAGCTTTGTGGGAGGAAGAGTGTGGAGGGGTTCCAGTCTCATGTCCTCCTGAGCAGCAGCCACAGCACTGGCAGTACCCGTGCTGTTGACAGTGAGACCTACAGTCCCTGTCCGGGGACAACCTCCAGCCCTCTTTCTGGTATGCCCTGGCAAGAGGGAACACGCCCCTTTGGGCACAGCAGCAACAGCTCCCCTGAGAAAGGAGGTCAACAGGAGACTCAGACTGAGTTTCTTTAGCATCTCCCATGTTAGCTGCATCACCCTGCAAATACATGAAAATTGTCAGTGCCCCTCCAAAGGTTTCTGCGCTGACAGGCTCTCTGCCTCTCCACTGACTTTCTCGGAGCCAAAGCTGTCTGGCTGGATCACCCCTCACTGTCCATGCCATAAGAGCTCAGCTTCAGTGCGCTGTTGTCCACGCTGTGGTGTTCAACCAGTCACCAGACTGTAGTTAGCCTCTCCTTTCCCTGGCTAGCTGGGCACCTCCAGCAGCACGACACCAAGAGCAGGATATAGAAACAGCCTCTGATCCCCAGGCTGTGGCCTCTTTACTGTTGTCTTCTCAGCCTTCCTTTCACCTTCCACCGCTGGCAAGCACTTGGAGGGGGCAAGCCACTTGCATGTGGGCATATCAGCCGAGGTATTGGTCCTTGTAGGTTTACGGGTTGCTCTGCTCTTCTGCAAACTTTTCAAGTGTCATTTTGCAGCCACTGCTATGGAAATCAGACTTTCTCTTGTTCCTTCTGGGTAGAGAGTGTTCATGATCACGCAGAGACGGTTTACCTGCGAGCTGCCACGAGATGGCAAAATACTCCCCAGCATCACTCCCAAGCCTGCTTAGCAGCACAGCAGGCTGGTGCCATGCAAGATTTCAGGGATGCAGCAGCAGCAACAGCTGAATTTGCTGCTCCTCACCCCACCCCACCAGCAAAGAGGCTGGGGGTGCACAAGGAATTGAGAGGGGACACAGCTGGAACATCTGACCCCAAATGACCCAAGGGATATCCCATACTGTATTGGTGCTCGGCATATAGAGCTGGGGGAAGAAGAAGGAAGGGGAGGAAGTTTGGAGTGATGATATTTGTCTTCCCAAGTCACTGTTACATGTGATGAGGCCCTGCTCTTCTGGAGATGGCTGCAGTGAACAAATTCCTCATTTTGCTTTGCTGGTGTGTGTGACTTTTACTTTCCCTATTAAACTGTCTCTGTCTCAATCCATGAGTTTTTTCACTCTTACCCTTTCAATTCTCTTCCCTATTTCACAGTGGGGGAGTGTGCAAACAGTTATGGAGTGTGTAGTTGACAGCTGGGGTTAAAACACGACAGTCCTTTTTTGGGACACAGTGTGGGACTCAGCAAGTTCCGATAATGACAGATTTTATTTGAATGTGCTAGGTGAAATGTTCAGCTCTTATTGCTGTTTAATTATTAACCAGCAGGCTCCTGTGCTTGCCATGGGGCTTGCTCACTTATGTATAGCAATCTAGTGCTTGTTAGTAGCTGGTCACTGCTGTGCTGTGCTGGTTATCACCTCAGCCTGCTGTGGCTGGGAGCACTCTGATAACAGCCTGGCAATGCGCCTGGGCTGGCGGGTGGCCAGAGCATTGCTGCTGTATCTGTGCTGCTGTATTGGACAGGCTGGAACTCCAGTGAGTTGAGTCAAAGGGACTGTGACCTGTGGATGAGTCCACAGTGCAGGGGGAAGAGTGTGAGGGGTCCTTCCCCTGAAGAAGAAGGAAAGAGAGGAGGTGCTTGATGTGCTGGAGAAGATTCCTCTGCAGCCCATGGTGAAGGCTGTGGTCAGGCAGGCTATCCCTCTGCATCCCATGGAAGTCCATGGTGGAGACTAATTGCTATAGCTGGAACCCCTTGTTGCACCCAGACTAGAAGGGGAGGACTTCATTACAATACTAAACCCTATAACCTGGCATGAAAGGACCAGGGGTGGACATTGTAATAGGTGTGTCTTTAAATTGTTGTAAGCCATATTTTGAGTTATTATAACAAGAACCACACAAACCAATGGAGGAGAGAAGCCTTAGAAGAAGCAGTTGCAGCACAGCGGTGACCTGACCTGAACTGGCTTTGGTGCTCAGTAACTCCACTCAGCACACCACCTCTCCTGTCCTGAGTGACCACTAGAACAGATGGAGCCCAAAGTCATGGAGTAAATGAATTCAACAGACATTTTGTGGAGACCTGTGGACATCTGATGGACATTTGCAGAGGTGGTCCATAGACTAATGGAACGATGTCTGTGTATTATATCAAAGGCTGGAAAGAGGATGGGAGGTGTTAATGAGGTTGTATTGAGTTATGTAGGAATAGAGCATGACATAAATTATATGAAAGAAGGGGTAGAGAATGTACTGATCATGGCTGGGGTGGTGTTAATTCTCTTCATAGTGGCTAGTATGGGACTTTGTTTAGGATTTTTGCTGAAAAAAGTGATGATAATATAAAGTAGTTTTTATTACTGCCAAGCAGTGTTTACACAGAGCCTTTTCTGCTCCTCAGCCACCACACCCACAAGGAGTCTAGTGGTGCACAAGTTCGAAGAAGCTGGGACACTACCAGGACAGGTGATCCCGACTGATCCAGGGGATCTCCCACACCGTATAGAATCATATTCAGCATATAAACCTGAAGGAAGAAGAAGGAAGGGAGGGACATTTGCAGGGATGGCATTTGTCTTCCCAACTCACTGCTAAGCATGAGTTAAGCACTGTTAGGCATCTCTGTCTGCCCATGGGAAATGGTGAAGAAATTCTTTGTTTTACTTTCCTTGCGTGCATGGCTTTTGCTTCACCTATTAAGCTGGTTTTATCTCAGCCTGTAGGGTTTTTCATTTCTGTGCTTCTGATTGTTTCCCTGATCCTGCTGGATGGGGGAGTGAGCAAGCAGCTGCATGGTGCTTAGTTGCCCACTGGGCTTAAACCATACCTATGAAGTTTTGATACCAGTTGTTTCATTTCTTAATAAACTGATCTACCTCTCTCTGAAGAATCTGTCTGTGAAGCTGCTCACAGTGTTATCATCTAGCTTATATATTCCACCTTTCCTTCCCTTTCAAACTCTCTGTTCAGCTTGTGCTCATGTGCTGACTCACGGAAGTCAAGAAGCACATAGAAACCCCCTCAACTTGCTTCTGGAATGTCATGAGAAGGGCTTTGACCCAGTGTTCAGCATCCATCATCCTCTCCTCACCCGTGAAGATGCAGTTCAGAACAAAAAGTATGTGTTTCTTGTCACATTGAAAATGGTACAGCAAATAACTACATTTAGGCAGCTTTAACCCTTCAGATAAGATCACCAGAGATGGCTAAAGGAATATGTGCTTAATGCTGATGAAATATCCCTCAGATCTTTTTTTTCTTTTTAATTCTATTTAAGAAAGCATAGCTTATATATCAAAGCAAGACTGGTTTATTAGTCTTGAAGTGGTT